TTCTATGATTTAGCATTCTGATGTGTGTCGATATGAAAATCCCATAATGATATATGTTTACAAGTTCCTCTACTAGCGTAAAAGATGTGTAAAATAAAAGCATTTTTCTGACTTGAAAATGACATCTTAGTATCTAGGTTGGCGGTAAACCCGTGTGCTTTCTTAACTTAACATGAGAACCATATTTATCATCTGAGTCGTAAACGAGTTAAGTAGTTTTGACCTTACAGTTGACCGACATAGGTCATATATTTGAAAGATTTTTTTCAATTGAAGACGATACTATTAAGTTAAGATATAATCTTTCCTTTGTTTGGTATGATATTTTATTGCGCAACTTTTCTATCTTTTTTAATCAATTGGTTTTCCTTATGTTTTTGTCTTCTGCCTAGGGTTTCTCTTGTTTTTCTAGCTATTTTTTGTTTTCATTACTTTGTATTCTTATTTAGAGGTACATCTTAAACCTATATTGTACTCTTTATTTTTTTAAAAGCCTTCGATAAACTTTATTTATATATTATTCTTTGTCGTTCTAAAATTTTAGAGATATATCTAACATTTTTTTCCAAAAATAAGTGAGTTAAGGATAAAATCATTGAAAATAATTGATAACCTAAGATATGTTTGAATTGACTTTTTATGGACAAATCTATTACAATAAAGGCTAGTTACAATTGTTTTTGTTGGGTTTACAATAGACTAGATTCGGCCCGCTATTCTTCTTCACGGTAGCAGTGCTTTTGGCTAGATCATGGGCCTTAACATGAGAAAACCTTATCTTCTCAAAACAAGTCCTATATTGTTTCATCTATGTCACTATCCCACCGATAATATTCCTAGGAATGGTGATAGTGTTCTTATGCATGAGCTTTATGAGATTCAAACAATCTAATTTGAATGATATCTTCAAGTACCCTTCCTTAATCGTCGTTTTCATAGCCATCTGAAGCGTCATCGCTTCACATTCCATGGGGTGATTCTGTTGAGTAAACTTTAAATGGCATTAGTAATAAGTTTCATATTAAATATGGTAGTAGGAAGATTAAGAGCCAATGTAATTTGGAAGGACAAAAGTTGGTAAGTTATGATAGTTTTATTAGTAGCAGTTATCTTTTGAGAATTGTAAAAGTCATTAGGTCTATATAAGGACCAAGAGTGTATTTTATTCAAAAAGAGCAATACAAAAGGTTTGTCTCCTTTTAGAAAAAGTAATCACATAATGAAGTCTGATTATTTATAACAATTTGGTATCAGAGCTCATGGCAAACATGATGAATCAAATTCCGTTGCCACGGCTAACGAAGTCAAATTATGAAAACTGGAGTATCCAAATGAAAGCTCTTCTTGGATCTCTAGACGCGTGGGATGTGACCCATGAAGGGTTTGAAGAACCAACTGAAGTTGGGGGATATACGGCAGCTCAAACGAAGGCATTAAAAAAGACGTGATCGAAGGATAAAACGGCATTATACATGTTGTTCAGGGCTGTAGATGAATCAGGCTTCGAAAAAATTGCTGGTTCGACTACGTCAAAACAAGCGTGAGACACGTTATAAAAAGTGTTCAAAGGAGCAGATCGAGTGAAGCAAGTTCGACTCCAAACTCTTTGTGGCGAATTAGAGAGGATACAGATGAAGGATACAGAAATTGTATCTGACTACATCACACGTGTGCAAAAGGTGTTGAATCAACTCACCAGAAATGGAGAGACAGTAACGGATGCACGAGTTGTTGAAAAGATCTTGAGATCTTTAACAGACAAGTTTGACAATATTATGTGTGAAATAGAAGAGTCAAAGGACCTTTCGACGCTCTCAGTCGAAGAGCTCGCTGGTTCTCTCGAAGCACATGAACAACGAAAGATGAAAAAGAAAGAAGAAGCAGTCGAAGAAGCAAATCAAACCAAGGAATCGAACAAAGACGAAAAGGTACTCTTTTCTCACAACTTTCGAGGAAGAGGACGTGGACGTGGAGGTCGTGACAGTGGTCGAAGTGGTAGAGGTAGCAACTTCGAAAGAGGACAATCGAGCCAACAAAATTAGCGTGGCATAGGACGTGGTCAAAGAGGTGGTCGTTCAAATCATTCTAACTTCGAATGCTACAAGTGTGGGAATTATGGTCATTACGCGAAGGATTGTAACTCCTACAAATGTTACAACTGTGACAAAGTGGGACATCTTGCAAAATACTGTCGAATCAAAAAGAAGATTGAAGAAACAACCAACCTAGCCTTGGAAACTGAATCGAATGAAGGCTTTCTCCTGATGGCTCAAAACGAAATCAACACCAATAATGACAATATTTGGTATCTTGACTCAGGAGCAAGTAATCACATGTGTGGTTACAAACACCTGTTTAAAGATATGAAGAGAATTGGAGATGGTAATGTGTCTTTTGGAGATGCATCAAAAGTGAAGGTCGAAGGAAAGGGCACAATCGGTTACTTGCAGAAGGATGGCTTGATTGAATCAATCGAAGACGTTTACTATGTACCAGATCTCAAGACCAACATATTAAGTCTGGGACAAATTACAGAAAAAGGTGCTTCGATACTTATGAAAGATCGAACACTGCATTTGAAGGACAAAGTAGGACATCTGATTGCTAGTGTCAAAATGGAAAGAAATCGAATGTAAAAACTGAACCTGAGGAACATTCGAGAGAAATGTCTGCAAATCGAAGTGTAAGACAAAGCGTCATTATGGCATATGCGCTTTGGTCATCTACATCATGCTGGTTTGAGAAGGTTGGCGAAAAGGAACATGGTGCATGGACTACCAGACATGGATTTCGAAGGAAAATTCTGTGAAGAATGTGTGCTCAGCAAACAAACAAGAACCTCATTTCAAAGGAAGGCAGAGTATCAAGCTAAACACATTCTCAAATTGATACATACTGACATATGTGGGCCAATCAATCCAGAATCCTTCAGTGGAAAAAGGTACTTCATTTATTTTATTGATGACTTCTCAAGAAAAACCTGGGTTTACTTCCTGAAAGAAAAATATGAAGCATTAGAAGTGTTCAAAAAGTTCAAAGTAATGGTGGAGAAGGCAACAGACAGACACATCAAAGCAATTCGATCTGACAGAGGAGGTGAGTATACTTCAATGGCCTTTGTGAAGTACTGTGAAGAACAGGGCATAAGGAGATTCCTAACTACACCATATTCACCTCAACAAAATGGTGTGGCTGAAAGGAAGAATCGAACTATTCTTGACATGATTTGATCAATGCTCAAAAGCAAGAACATGTCGAAAGAATTCTGGGCAGAAGCAATACAATGTGCTGTTTATATTCAGAATAGATGTCCACATTCGAAGTTAGAAGACAAAACACCACAAGAAGCATGGAGTGGACAGAAGCCAACAATTTCTCATCTCAAGGTGTTTGGTAGTATAGCTTATGCACATGTACCACATCAATGAAGAACAAAGCTTAAAGAAAAAAGTCAGAAGTACATATTCATTGGATATGATGAGAAGACGAAAGGGTACAAGCTCTTTGATCCCATAAGTAAGAAAGTGATCGTGAGTAGAGACGTTCGAATGAACGAAGCAAGCAAGTTGGACTGGAATAATTCAACAGAGGTTATTGACGCAGTCGAAGAAACAATTGTAGTTGTACCAACAGGTATTCCAACAGAACATGAAGAAACTGAAGATGAAGATGAACCTCTACAACCCAAAATGAGAAGTTTGCAAGATTTGTATGATTCAAAAAGTGAGGTGCATCTTGTGTGTCTTCTGGCAGATGCTGAAAACATCAGTGTCGAAGAAGCGTTATGAGACAAGAAGTGGAAAAGTGCCATGGACGAAGAGATTAGAGCAATCGAACGCAACAATACTTGGGAGCTAGTCGAATTTCCAAAAGGTAGTCAACCCATTGGTGTAAAGTGGGTATTCAAGAAAAAGATGAATGCTCAAGGAGAAATCAAAAGATTAAAAGCACGACTGGTTGCGAAGGGATACAAACAGAAAGCAGGAATTGACTATGACGAAGTGTTTGCGCCTGTTGCAAGAATGGAGACAATTCGATTACTCATTTCTCAAGCTGCTCAATTCAAATGGCCAATATTTCAAATGGATGTCAAGACAGCTTTTTTGAATGGTGTGATCGAAGAAGAAATCTATGTCGAACAACCACTTGGATATATGAGAATTGGAGAAGAGAAGAAGGTGTTGAAACTGAAGAAATCGATGTATTGGCTGAAGCAAGCACCTAGGGCATGGAACACACGTATTGACACATATTTCAAAGAGAATGGGTTCGAGCAATGTCCTTATGAACTCGCCCTCTATGTGAAGAAAAATGGAAGTAATTTATTACTTTTTTCTCTCTATGTTGATGACCTTATCTTTCTAGGCAGTGATGTTCAGATGATCGAAGATTTCAAGAGCACCATGACAAGCGAATTCGAAATGACAGACTTAGGTCTAATGAGATTCTTTCTTGGTCTGGAGGTTCGACAAGAAGAAGCTGGAATCTTTATCTCACAAGAAAAATATGCAAAAAAAAATCCTAAAAAAATATAAAATGAAGAATTGCAATCCAACTTCGACGCCAATGGAACCAGGTACAAAACTGTCAAAGTTTAATGGAGGAGAACGGGTTGAAGGAAGCAAATATCGAAGCTTGGCAGGTAGCCTTCGATATCTCACATGCACAAGGCCAGACATTTCACTAAGTGTTGGCGTGCTAAGTCGATTCATGGAGGAGCCAGTACACACACATTGGAAGGCGCTAAAACGAATTCTAAGATACATCCAAGGAACAGTATTACTAGGAATGCTTTATTTAAAAACAGAAGACTACAAGTTAGTTGGTTATTCTGACAGTGACTGGTGCAGAGACATAGACGATCGAAAGAGCACCTCTGGATATGTGTTTTTCATGGGAAACACAACATTTACTTGGCTATCGAAGAAGCAACCTATAGTAACACTTTCGACGTGTGAAGCTGAATATGTGGCAGCATCCTGGTGCGTCTGTCATGCAGTATGGCTCAGAAGGTTGATAAGCAAGATGGAGCTAAAATAGGAAGGTCCAACAATAATACAAGTGGACAATAAATCAGCTATCGAATTGGCAAAGAATCCAGTGAATCATGAACGAAGCAAACACATTGATGTTCGATTTCACTTCATTCGTGAACATGTGAAGGAGGGAAGTGTCGAATTGAGGCATGTAGCAAGCAAAAATCAAGCAGCGGATATTTTCACAAAACCACTATCAAAAGAGATCTTCGACAGAGGAAAGAAGATGATAGGAATGCTGGATGGAAGAAACATTTAAGTTTACAGAATAGTTTTGTTGAGTAAACTTTAAATGTCATTAGTAATAAGTTTCATATTAAATATGGTAGTAGGAAGATTAAGAGTCAATGTAATTTGGAAGGACAAAAGTTGGTAAGTTATGATAGTTTTATTAGTAGCAGTTATCTTTTGAGAATTGTAAAAGTCATTAGGTCAATATAAGGACCAATAGTGTATTTTATTCAAAAAGAGCAATACAAAAGGTTTGTCTCCTTTTAGAAAAAGTAATCACATAACGAAGTCTGATTATTTATAACAGATTCGGACGTTATATTCGCTTAATCACTGAATTTATGCTCCTCCCATCTATATCAGTAAAAATGGCGCTCAATCCCCATGGCCCTTCCAACTCTAAATTAGCATCGGAGTGGCATAAGATCCACTCCTAATGATCGTTATTATTGTTCTTAGTCTTCACGTCGAAGGTTTTCAATCTATTCTTCTAAGTTATCATTTTATCCTTATTATTATTCGGTTTCTCCGTTTAAATTGACTTATTGAAGCTTATCTAATGTCCTAAATTTTGTGACATTATTTGATAGCTTTTTATTAAAACTATTTATGAAATTTCTCTTATTACTTTTTTTAGTTTATTTTATAAATTTTAAGATAACTTGAGAAAATAACAGAGTATATATAAAAACAATTTAAATTTAATTTATCTTTTACTTTAAAAATAATTTATACAAACTTATTAATAAACTTATTTTAAAAACCATTTATACTTATAAACTATAAATAAATTGTTTATATAAATACGTCTGTAATACCAAGTGCGTACATATAAGCTTAGGCTAACTCCAATAGACAAATTTTCAAAATTGTAGCACTCTTCTGAACTGAAAAGTTTAATTGCTTAAGTACTATGAGAGAGTTGTCGATGATGATGATGATGATGATGATGATGATGATGATGATGATGATGATGATGATGATGATGATGATGATGATGATGATGATGATGATGATGATGATGATGATGATGATGATGATGATGATGATGATGATGATGATGATGATGATGATGATGATGATGATGATGATGATGATGATGATGATGATGATGATGATGATGATGATGATGATGATGATGATGATGATGATGATGATGATGATGATGATGATGATGATGATGATGATGATGATGATGATGATGATGATGATGATGATGATGATGATGATGATGATGATGATGATGATGATGATGATGATGATGATGATGATGATGATGATGATGATGATGATGATGATGATGATGATGATGATGATGATGATGATGATGATGATGATGATGATGATGATGATGATGATGATGATGATGATGATGATGATGATGATGATGATGATGATGATGATGATGATGATGATGATGATGATGATGATGATGATGATGATGATGATGATGATGATGATGATGATGATGATGATGATGATGATGATGATGATGATGATGATGATGATGATGATGATGATGATGATGATGATGATGATGATGATGATGATGATGATGATGATGATGATGATGATGATGATGATGATGATGATGATGATGATGATGATGATGATGATGATGATGATGATGATGATGATGATGATGATGATGATGATGATGATGATGATGATGATGATGATGATGATGATGATGATGATGATGATGATGATGATGATGATGATGATGATGATGATGATGATGATGATGATGATGATGATGATGATGATGATGATGATCATATTTATAAAGGTTGGACCAATCTCTTGGTCCATTCTTCTCCCAAGAAAAAAAACTTCTTGAAAATTTCACTAGTAAAATATTTTTAGCTTTTACGAAGTTATATCCAAAATCCTTATTACAATTGATTTATTGTGAAAATTAAATGGAATTTTTCACTAATAGACTTGTAAATCAAGAATAAAATTTTGACAAGTTAATCTTGAAAACTAAATAGAGATTTTATCAAAATAAACTTAACAACTAAACGATAGCAATTCAAGAGAATCACATTCTTAATAAAAATAATTGAACATCAATACAACTAAAATATCCTAAATGTATTTCACTCATAAAGACTCTAAAAACAACTTTTAGCTAAAGAAAAAACGTGTGTGTAGTGAGAGATTTCATCAATATAGGAAAAAAATGTAGTTATCATAAAGAAAATTTATTGAACAAATTAATATTATATTGCAACCATTATTAAATAGATTTAATTTTGTTCCATGTCATTTGATTTAAGTTTGAAAATCGACCTGTAAAATACACACACAAATTACACTTATAATATCAACTTTTCTACTCAAACACTGACATGTTGTAATTTATATATTTATTTAAATTCATGTAATAAATATTAAAATAAACTATTATTTTAAAACAACATTAATAAAAAACTATTCTTTTTCATTTTCTTCAACTCAAAAATCTATTACTAGCCTGAACAAACAAATAAAAAAATCCAAAAAAACATTAAGCACAATAAAAAAAATCAATTAGGACTCTTTCTATTTTTTATAAGAAATATGTTGTGGGGAGATACTAGGAGCAATGATGTATAGTGTAGGAACAAGCACCTTTGAGAGAGACACACCACTTCTCCACCTAAAATCTTAAGGTGATAGGTGAGTGGATTCTCCCACTTATATATGTTTAAGTCTCCACATTCTTATCCAATGTGGGACTGTTTCTCCACTTACTCACACTTGCTATATTATTCCAACACTCCCCCTCAAGTGTGAGTCCACAATGCCCCTCCACTTGTACCGCACCACTTCTTGGGCGAATTTGGATACAAGTTCCTTCCGGTCTCTTTCTCGAACCAAAGACTCATGATACCATGTTCTGCACAGAAATCTTCAAACATCTTGGATGTGTATTCGCTACCTCCATCTGTTCATAGAACTTTGATCTTCTTCTCACTCTTGTTTTCGACAAGTATCTTGAATCTCTTAAAGATTTCGAATACTTCGTCCTTTCGTTTGATCACATAGATCCACAGCTTTCGACTAAACTCGTCGACAAAGGAAACAAAATATATGTTTCCACCAATTGTATGTTCTTCAAATGGACCACATACATCTGAATGCACCACTTCGAGAATGCAGGATGATCTCATTGACATAGTAGAAACGAAAGAATTTCTGGATTGCTTTCCCACTAAACAACCTTCACAAAGTTTTTCAGACATCTCAAGACTTGGAATATCAGTAACCATATCTTGAGTAATCAATTGATTAAGTGATCGAAAATTCAAATGTCCAAACCTCAAATGCCACAACCAACTATCCTTGTGGTCGACAACAGTTTTCAAACATTGAACTTTTGTCGAACTGATCATAGTCTTAAATGTCATGTTCTTCGACAATGGAGATTTTAAAACCAAATTGCTCTTAGTGTCGAACAATTTCAAAACTCCATCTTTCATGACAACTGAGAAACCTTTTTCAACTAGTTGTCCAACACTTAACAAGTTGCATTTCATTCCAGGTACATAGAGCACATCTTTGATCATAGCTTTCCCTCCATTACTCATTTGAAAGACTATGTTGCCAGTACCTTCTGCTTGCAACGAACTATTATCAACAAGTTTTACCTTGCTCTTCTTCGACTCGTCAAAATCTGCCAACCACTCCTTTCGAACAGTCATGTGGTTCGAGCAACCTGAGTCGAGAAACCAGATATTAGATTCAACATGATTATCTGCAACTGCAGCCATAACCATCATACCACCTTCAGAATCATCTGAATCTTGGCGTGCAAGGTTCGCTCCTTCGTCCTTGCCTTTCGATCCCTTGTCTTTTCTGTACCAACAATTCTTGGTCAAGTGTCCTCACTTTTCACAGTTATAACACTGCATACCTTTCTTATCTTCTTTGGCCTTTCGATAGTTTCCTCCTCCCCTTTTCGAGGATTCAGAAGATCTATCTTCAACCTTATTCTTATGGGAATTCGACCAAGACTTCTTGCCATGAGTCTTGTCGAACTTGCCTTTGAATTTGTTGAAACCACCATCTTTTTTCCATGATTGAGCTTGTAGTGCCTGTATCGAGTCCTGAACTTCTTTCCTTTCGAAAATCCTCATCTCATGCGCCTCCATCGAACCAACCAAATCTTCCACTTTAGTGGTTTCAAGATTGTTGGATTCTTGAATAGCTACGATAACGTGATCAAAGTGAGAGGTCAACATTCTCATTACCTTCTCAACTATCATCTTATCAGTAATGGTTTCACCACAACCCTTCATGAGATGGACGAGTTTCTGAACCTTCGACACATATTCTGCAACTTTTTTATCTTCTCCCATCGATAACAACTCATATTATCGATGCAAGGTTTGTAATTTTACAATCTTGACTTTCTCACCTCCTTCGAAATACTTTACCAGAATATCCCATGCCTCCTTCGCTGTTTCAGCATGAGAGATTTTGTCGAAGTTAGCAGCATCGACAGCCGTTTGAATGCAATAAGCAGCCTTGCAATCTTTTTTCTTGACTTTGTTGTGGGTTTTTTTTCTGTTCGTCAGTTGCATTTGTAGCCAATGTCAGACTTAAGCATATATAAGTGGGAGAACCCACTCACCTATCACCTTAAGGTTTTAGGTGGAGAAGTGGTGTGTCTCTCTCAAAGGTGCTTGTTCCTACACTATGCATCAATGCTCTGATACCATGTTGTGGGGAGATACTAGGAGCATTGATGCATAGTGTAGGAACAAGCACCTTTGAGAGAGAGACACACCACTTCTCCACCTAAAACCTTAAGGTGATAGGTGAGTGGGTTCTCCCACTTATATATGCTTAAGTCTCCACATTCTTATCCAGTGTGGGACTATTTCCCCACTTACTCACACTTGTTATATTATTCCAACAAAATAGAGTATTCTGATACTATAATTTAGTGTATATAAAGTCATATAAATATTAAATATGTATTATATATTTTTAAAAGGTGTACTATTTACACACACAAAATCTAATAATAAAGAAAATGGAGAGAATGGAAAATGGAGTGGATTTTAAGTTAAAAACCTAGTTGGTAATGACATATATAAAATTGTCATCATGAATGATAAAAATTGGAATTTTCTTTGGAAATTAAAAATAAAAATACAAGTTACTCATGATTTGTTCAATAAAAAAGTTTAATTTTTCAGTTAGTCGCATAATACTAAGAGACAAAACCCCCCATATATATATATATATATATATATATATATATATATATATATATATATATATATATATATATATACACTTGGATTTACGGCGCCAAAGATGGTGGAGGGGAAGTCAATTGTTGTCATAGAGAATGTAGATGTGGAAAAGGAAATTTTATACTGGAAGAATGTTTCAACAATGTATGCGCTGGGTAAAGACCTGAGCATGAACGCAGTCAAACAATTCATGTTGAGGTACTGGAATTTTGTTCCGCTGCCGAATTTATTTTACCATGATGAAGGATATTTCCTAATGCGATTCAAATTAGAGCAGGATAATAAGATGTTCATGATGCGAGGACCCTATATTATCCATAATTCTCCAATGATCTTGAAGAACTGGCATCCCGATTTTAATTTCAAGAAAGATATGATAAGGACTATTCTAGTCTGGGTAACCTTGCCAAACCTTCCTAGTTTCTTTTGGGGAGCAGAAACATTGGGGAAAATTGGGAGTGCCATAGGGAAGTCGTTACTCACAGATGAATGTACAGCCAATAAGCTAAGAATTTCATATGAGAGGATATTAGTTGAGATTGATATCACTAAGCCACAACATGAAAGTATAACAATTTAAGATGAGGATGGGGATAGTGTTGAGCAACATGTTGTCTATGAGTGGAAACCCAGATTTTGTGAAACTTGTCAACGGGTGAGGCACAAATGTGAGAAAGGAAAGCAATGGAAATCGGTGTTGGCCAAGACTGTTCAAATAGTTCTAGAGATAACTACACCAAATAATCCCATTTTCATTACTACCCCTAATAATCCGATAGAACCATCAGTTGAAAATTGGACCCAAGTTATTCATAATAGAAGGATCTGTGGAAAAGCGGTTATGCAAGACGAGGCAGTGGAGGTCCCTTGTAATAATGGTTTTGATGCCCTTTTTGGATTAGGAAAGATCCAGGGGTGGGAAATGAAGGTGTGCCATGATCATTTCCTGGAACCTTAGAGGGTTGAACAAAATAGGAAAATGTAGAGAGATAGCAACCCGTCTCAATCATCTACATCCTGATATTGGGATTTTAATTGAAACTAGAGTCAAGAAGCATAAAGCTGACAGTATTAGGAATAAACTTGGCCAGGCTTGGTCATACATTGACAATTATATGAATCATGATAATGGAATATTATGGGTCTTATGGGATAGAAATAAAACCCAGATTAAAGAGGTGGGAAGCTCTGATCAGCCGATTCATATGGGAATTTAATCCTCTAGAGGGGAATTAAAGATATGGTGCACAACAATATATGCTCACAATTCTTTGGAGAAGAGGAAAGTTCTGTGGAGAGACATTGAGGATATTTCTCAAACTGCCAAGGAGCCTTGGGTGTTATTGGGAGATTTCAACAATGTTCTTCATATGCAGGATAGAATTGGTGGAAATGTTGTCCAGGAGAAGGAATTTAAGGATTTGGCCAGTATGATGGACAAAGTAGGCTTGTTTGAGAAGGATATGTGGGAGACTATTATACTTGGTCTAATAATCAGTGAAATGAGCCTATCTATTCTAGGATTGATAGAATGATTGATAATGTATTATGGCATCAGCAAAACATGGATAGTACTTTAACTATTATGGCCCCATGGGTCTCTGACCATGCCCT